AGGGGAGGGGTATCAATCAGTAGGATAAACAAGACACAACACTGTACAACATACACTGGTATTAAAGTACCATTGATAATTAATTTAGTAGCGGAGGGGAGGGGTATCATTTATCAGGATAAACTGAAAAGATAATAAGGGACTTAGTTCTTTTTTCATAGTTTGCACATTAGTTGAAAAAGAAAATAAATAATAAATTGAAACGGAAAAAAGAAAAGCCTATTTATCCCATTTTAGTTTTTCAGAGTGAAACAGCAAATTTCTTCTAAAGGAAAGTCATTTCCATGGGCAATCTTACTTACCTGATCAAGACAATTCCATCAATTATYGCATCAATCACGCCATCATGCAAACGTACTATTCCTTAGTATAGAGATTCAGTATATATTGATTGACTTTTGTAGTCAGGTGAGGTTTGGAACACACACGGAACTGTTTAGATCAGTACCTGGTCAACTTTCATCAAGGATAGCCAGGTCAGTTTGGGGAATTCGCTGGACAGCATGTAGTTGTCTTGTGTAAACTGGTAGAAATTGTTTTGAATTCACAGCACGAGAGAGTTCCGTTTGGGTTCTGTATGTCTCACTTGTAATTAGTTATCATAACCATGAAATAAAAATTGTAGTTTTGTTGAATTGTGGTTGTACTTTTCTCATTCCTTATAGAACAGCGGCGGATACACGGGGGTGGGGGGGGTTGGATTTCCATCCTCCCTTTTTACAGTAAAAGTGAATATTTTTAGGAAAATAGAAGGAAAATGATTGCATCTAATTACAAAATATGTCAAGAGTTAAAATATCGCTGCATTCACAAATACAGTACACTGTATGCTATAATTTAATCATTCCCCCCCTTTCTACTGCAAAAAGAAGGCTCAAAAGAACTTTTTAAAAATTATCCACCCCCCTTCCTTTTTAGATTAATCCCGCATTTGCCCTTGTAGAATAAGATTCTCTGTTGGATCTATATCCGTATTCATGTGTCTTCTCGTGCGCAACCGTTAAGCAAAGTGTGTGACATGATCTGAATTGCGAAAAAATTGAGAAAAGAGAGAAAAACCGGACAAAACCCCCGAATCAAGAGACCTAACAAACTCTTTCACGTCACGTGATGCCGAGTCTGGGAATCGAACTCTAGTCGAGGCCCCAGAGGTGAGAGGCTCTTGAAACCCTATTTCAGTGATCATGACGACTACGTTAGTTTCCTAGTATAGTTCCTCTACGAAACACGGATGAAAATTGGGTAATTCGTTCCTTGATTACATAAAACAGATTCATTTCTACAGGTTTACCATCGTAATTGAGAGTTAATCTTTAGCAAACGGGTTTTTGGTATTTTTCGCTGAAATACTTTAAAAAATAAATATTTTACACACTAGTAATAATGATGTTGACTTTTCAGTAACGAGCTGGTTTCGATATTCAACCTCCAAATTCTCTTTTTGCATATTGATCTCGAGTACAATTTGAAAGGCGAGTGCAATTAAAGAACTTTCAAAACATTACAAGTGTCTATCAATTCCAAATTGTACGAGAAGATCGTGTGATTTTTTGTTTATAATTCACTCAACAAAATTTCAGTAAAAAATGCGCATCGACGCCGTTCATCTTTGTCTATTTGGCGGCCGATCTTCAGTCCACCGCGCAACTGAAATGCATAAAAAAGATTAGTTCTTACAGCTTAAAAATTTTATTTATATGTTTTTTAAATACGAAATGATAGAAAATAATTGTTTTGACATTGTTTTGGCCGTGTTGCCATAGCGACTTAATTCGGTACTCCTAAGGAGTACAATTAACGCTATAATCGACTCCTCTCGACCAATTAGAGTCGAGTAATTTTGTTGAGTGTACTATAATTGTAAAAATATCTTACTTATCAGGACCTTCTTGAAAATCACATTTATAAGTGAAGAAGCTTCCTGTTAAAATATGAATGTAAATAAATACTAAAATACCAAATAATTATCTTGATAGATTAATAGAACTGGAAAACTTATGAGGTTTAGTCTCGTTGGAGGGCAAATCTTTTGAAAACGGTTTTTATATATTTCTTTTACGCAAAGTACTAGCATATCAAATAATTATCTTGATATGAATAATAATTATATTGATAAGAATAAAACTGAAAAAATGTTGTTAAAAATATTTATCTTGTACGGCGGCTTTGCATTGCAGTTCGCTCAAGGAAGCTTTTCCTTTACGGCTGTGTACTCAAAGAAGAATATAAACAGCAAGGATGAAGTTTACTAATTCGTTCCTAATTTGCTTTTCCTAATTTGCTTTTTGGATATAGTTTCCCCCCCCAGTATATAACAACGAACATTCTTGAAATTATAAAGTGTATATGGAGCGTATATTCACGTGACAAGGTAGAAACTTTCTGCACTTTGTTTTTGCATAAAAAGAGTTCAATTCCCCGAGGATAGAAAATGTATTGATTTGGTACACCAACAAGACCACTGTGACGCGTACGTCAAGTGAAAAAGCTCTATAAAGTTTCTTTTTTTTTTTCGGATTCCTTATTAAAACTGTCCGTTCTTTTTGTTCTTTTTATAGACAATAAAGCTGAAAGCGTCTTCTGAACAGCACTTGTCATGCATGTTTTCAAAATATTTCTATTCTTGATGTCGTGCAATCAAAACAAGATAAGAAATCGATAGCAAATGACTAAAATAATATCAGCAAAGCGATTGTTCCTAGAAAAAACACTCATCACTGACAACTGGCTGAATTCGTAAAAATAAATCTGGTAACTGACGAAGGAACTCTGTCATCGCTTACATTATCTTCTGTAACACAAACTAGAGTGACCACAGTAAATCCGTAAAACACTAATTACTTAATAGTACAAAATAGTGCTAGTTAAACAATAGAAAACAATGGAATTTGCATGAAATTGTGCTATTTAGTATTACTAGAGTTTCACGGATTTACTGTGGTCAGTCTACTAGCGTCTTAGCAAGTGTTCAAGCCGGTTGGAAAGGGACTAAGGAGAGGAGGGGCGCGCACGCGTTTTGCATATTTAGCGGGAAACTTCGTGCCAATCCACAGGAACTCCGTCAATGACAATGTGCAAAGAGCCATTTTGTCAGCAAAAGGCTTTTCTGCTATCACGGCTGAGACAGAGAACAATATCATATAGAACTCGGGTTTCTATTTTCTATAAGACTGATGAATAAATAAAACTAAACCTCGTCTTTACCTTGTGCGAAATCATCGGTTTTCTTATTTTAGATCCCTTGAGTATAAGATTCTTTGTTTGCGTTGTATCCATATTTATGTGTCTACACATGCTCAACATACTCTAGGGAATGACAAGGGGTCTGAATGGAAAATCATTACGTGTAAGTAAAGTTGTCTATTCGCTATTCAGCACAGCTTCCACACTCACGAGACCTTAGTTTTAACAGCTGTAACCAATTAAATCCCATAAGTCAGTTAACGTATGTCTGAGTACATACAATCAGTGCGCATCAAAGTAATCGGCTTACAGTAACACTACTCGGACTTGCCAAGCCCCTTAGCTTCCTGCTAAGGACATTTCATCACCCTAGAGGTGAAGACAGCCAATGTCTAGTGGTTGTGATTTCAAGCAAACGTTTTTCTGTAGTGTTAGTCAAATAGGCACAAAAGATCTACTAGAGTGATTAAATTTGGCCCGTGTAACAACGTTGTATAATTAGTGATGACTAATAGGCAATATAAAACCAAAGAAAAGAATGGAATTTGAAAGTGTTTTGACAATGAATTGACCTCTTTACGTACCTTGCGCGTAATGTCTTCCCATTTCCAATCACTAGCTTGTCATTCAATTGTATATAACATCCTTTGTTTGAGTTGTATCTATATTCATGTGTCTAAACACGCTCAACCGTTAAAAAAAAAAGATACTCTAGGGAATGTCACGTGGTCTGAAATGGGCAAACATTATCATCAAGGTAAAGAGGCATACAGCAATTTCAAAAAAGGTTGAGTACTGAATACTGCATACTGAATAGTGTATTCCAAGACCGAAGTGCATTGTGGGTCATAGTGACATTGTCTAAAGTAGGATAAATAATAATTCTTTATTCTATTTTCAGTGTATTTGTTCTATTTTCAGTTTCCATCTGAACCAATATACTAACTCCATGTAGAAAGTCAATTGCTGTATATTTATTTTTCATTTCAAATTAACGAGACCCACAATACCCTTTGGTATTGGAATGCACTATTCAGTATGCAGTATTCAGTATTCAACCTTTTTTGAAATAGCTGTATTGGAAGACCCTGAAATACAATATGAAAAACTTCTAAGTTTAGCTTGGTACTTATCCACCCATTCTCTGGTTTCAAGCCACTCAGCCATATACTACACACAATAATATTAATAATAAACTCTTTAATAATAATGCTTTAGTCTGCTGTTTTTCTCTTAAGCCTACTTCTGGGTCTCGCTAGCAGACGTTACAGGTTAGGTGCAACGTTCTCCAATATAACATTAACTTTTTGTCACGAAAACTGAAACAATCTCTGGGGTAGTTTGATTCAGGAAGACGAATTGATGATGAATGATGAATAAAAGTCTCTGTTGGACAAACCTCCTCTCTAGGAATCCTTAGGTCGTCACGGTAGTTTGTAGGGAGAAAATCGTTGCGTGACGACCCTAATGGCCTTCTTTGCAGGAGGCCTCTTTTGGAGAGACTTTCTATTTTTAACAGGAAAGAAAAACTCATGAGAAGAGAGCCTTGAGTTGTTACGTTTCTTTGTAGGAAAAGCAGCGTTGCGTGACAACCCAAATGATGTTCACTAAATTTATCTGACTCACATTTCAGTTTTAAGTCATTATAAAGTATCTGGCATGCGCTCGATAAGAAGCCATTACATCCTAGTTGAAAAGGTATATTAGCGAACTATTGTCATGACGTCATGGTACGTGAACGTGACCCAACCAAACCAACCCCACCTAAATGCGCGCCCTACAGAGTGTTTCACTCACGTGACAAGGAAGCCATATTGGTGTACCAAACAAAACAAACTTTGTGCACAATTTTTTCACGAAAATAAAGTTCAATTCCTCGAGGATAGGAAAGGTGTTGTTTTGGTACACTAACATGGCCGCGGTAACGTCACGTGAAAACGCTCTATTGTTTACACATCCACGTCTGGAAATGCAATTATCACCAGTGACACCAGTTTCTGTACTATTGATCTACGACCTGGGTGATCTAGTCAGTAATCCTACAAGCACTTGATGGTAGCTTTTCAAAAGTTCTTCCCTATCACACTGGCGGAATCTCTAACTTCGCCGTCGAGACAAAATAGGATTTTGGTGGACGTCAATCAAAGGGTTCAAAGACATGTTGGGAAATACTGGAGTTTCCGATGGCGCGTGGCTAAGGAATGTCATGGAAACCCACCCCACCAAAACCTACTTTGACGCGACGGCGATTTTGCGCGTGCTAGTGAGAACGAATGTAATCTATTAAACTTCTGACACTATAGATAATCTAGGCTTCCAAAAATTATCCTTCCGCCTGCTTGAGTGATTCCGTAACTTTACGTCCTTCTTGTTCGAGGATTTGTTCTTTTCGCTCTTTTTCTTCTTATGAATTTCTCCATCTGGTATTTCTTGTGCTATAACTACTAAATGATCCTCATGATCCTCTACTGGTTTGGCTCTTATCGTTTGAGGGGGGAAACCATTACTTAATGTTTTATGCAAACGAGGTAACGTTGCCGCCCTTTTCGGCTTATCTTCGTCGGCTATTCGGTCTAGTACGTCACCAATCGAACACTGATCGGAATCATCTTGTTCAAAATAGCTTTCTAATTTTCGATATTTTGGACGATAAAGATCGACATGTTCTAGAACACGGTCACATTCTCTCTCACAATCACTGTCAGGCCCATGCGTTGAGTTATCCTTGCTTGTTGTGATTTTGTTGTGGTTAATGTCACGCTTACTTGCGAGCTCTAAATCACGGTAGAAATCACGCTTGGGACGCTCACGAGACGGTCTAGGCAGTGTCAAGTATTTAACATCAACTTGGGAATCAATCTCATTAGATAGAAGTGGCTCACGTTCTTGATTTCCTGCAAAATCCAAGCCCCGGTAAAAATCCCGTTTTGCGTGACCATCTCGAGGTGTTGCCATTGTTTTCTGGTCATATCCAAGCGCAGAATCACCTTGTTGAAGACGATCACGCTCCTGTTTTCGCGCGAGATCCAGTTCACGGTTAAAATCACGTTTAGCGCGACCTTCTCGAGGTAGTGTCATGGTTTCCTGGTCAGAGTTAAGCTGAGTATCACTGCGATGAGAACGACATTCTCCCTCATGCTGGGACGCGAGCTCTAAATCGCGATAAAAATCACGTCTCGCACGACGAACGGGAGAAATTCGTGTCGGAAGCGTTAAACTCCTGCTATTCTGGTATAACTGGGAGTCACTCTGATGTGAAGCACGTTGTTCCTGTTCTTGAGCCTCGAAGCGCGCGCGCACTCGAGCGCTGATAATCTCACGATCCCTCTTTAATTCTTGGTGGAGTAGCGGGTGGTGACGATTTCGATGCCGTCTCAAACTACTGTCCACGTCGAATGAATGACAACTTGCGGTTTCCGCGTCGAAAAGTTGAGTTTTGAAAGTACTAAAAGTTACCGGGAGAGACATCGTGGTGTCATAGGAAGCGATTGAGATATTTTCTAAAGAAGGAGCGCGGTGCAATAATGACTGTCTTGGGGATGTTGATTCTTGATCAATGTTTTGACCTGCATCTTCCTCGTCCGTATTGTCCCCTTTGTATATATGAGGAATGACTGAAGGTAACGACGTGTCATGCTTATGGCGTACTAACGAACCATTGGCAGACAAAGGACGGTTTCTTTGACTACGAAAACTTGAAGTGCGACTTGGAGGGCCCTTGATTGACCCGTCTTTGCTATTTTTACGCTTAAGAGACCCTCCATTGTGCGATGACCCAGCAGAGAAACTGTTCTGTGATTTCACACTAGGTTTACGCGGTCCACAAAACAAGGACTCTCTTTTTCTGTTCATCAACAAAATATAAATAAATAATCCAAGTATCACGCAAAAAACATAACCAACTCCAAACACCACGAGAAAAAACCATATACGAGGTTGACAATACCACGTCGTTGGTATATTCTTCATATAAAGGTATTTACTTGACCCCGAAACCTTTAGTAATGTTCTCTCATTGGAATTAAACAAAAGCCGTGCGTAACAGCTTTGTCCAAAGGCAGCGTTACAAGAGTAAACTGCTGAAGAGATATCGTAAAGTTCACGAGTTATAGACAACGCCAGCGACAATTTTGGTAGTTGAGAGTCCCCAGAAATATGTCGAAATAAAATATAATAATTCCCTTCCTGGGTGATTTGGTAAACAAACGATATTCGAGTTCTTTTGTTGTGGTTGTTGCTGTTAATCGGTCTTGTTTTGTGTTGACGGCTCTCCTTGTCAATCCATCCATCGAGGTTTGATCTTCCCTTGAAAATCAAAAGCTGTAAGAAGTTATCTGAACTCGCTTCTATCTGGATAGTAGAGCCTTTTAAGAGATAATACGACTTGTACCAATATTTACGGAAGGGAATCAAGATGTCAAGCGTCATGTTTGCCACGCTTTTCTCTTTGGCCAACTTCAATTCACTAAAAGTGCTGAGACTTCGCGTTAGCTTCGATTGTTCGAGTGAAATTCCTCCACAAAATGTAGTCGAAACTTTGATGATTCTCATATCTCCCTCTGCCATCTCGTACGTTTTAGGAAATAGAGGAGAAGAGTTGAATACTTGGATGAATAAACTTGCCACAATAAATCCCACGGCAACTAAACACAGAAACGCACAAAGGTACACGCGTAGTCTGAATTTGTAAAAGCTAAAGTATCTTCTTTTGTAGTCGTTTTCGCTTCTCGTCCCAAACGGTTTTTCCTGACCCATGGCTGCTACAAATTCTCTTCCAATAGAATATTTTTACCACAGAATGTGGAAGTATAATATCAAAACCCGAGAGAATAGTATCCCTTCACCTTGTTAACGAAAGATAAACGCAGAAAGTCGAGGTCATTTTAGGTCAACAATACGGAGCACATGCTAAACGTCGAGCCAGTTAGTTATTACAGAGACCTTCCAAGTAACAAATCAAAGCTAATCTTAAGTAATTTGACACCACAGTTGTCTAATGTACTTGTGTGTGTATGAACGACAAGGAAATTCCAAACACGCCAAAACACAGTGTTTATAAAGATAAATACTGAACAATCATGAACTATTTTTAGATTATCAAGCACATCAATTTGGTTTGTTGTAGAATCGAAACACAAACGACAGTCGCAAGTCATGATACTCTTATGATTTCAGCCGGCTCGGGGAATTCCGCCAAAAATGAATTCAAGCCGAAAATAGTTGACCGGAAGTGACGTAATAATTGCGTTATCAGAAAAGATCAGGGTGTTCACGTTATCAATTGTGTATCTTTTCAATGGTATGCGTCCAAGATACTTGGCAGATAAGATTGTTAAATTATCCCTGCGATTTACAAACCAGTCGGATTAAAATCAAGATTGTTGAGCTGTCAAGGTCCTAATCGCTCACCTCAAGCTATTTTATATCTTGATTGAGAAGTTTTTTCTGTGGCCCAGGGGTTAATGACATGCTGTTAAAAAAGTATAGCAGACCCTGCATGAGGTCGCATGAGTGATAAAGTTGGCAATGTCCTCCGCGACACCAAGCCCACACATTATCTTCTGAATTACATGTGGCTCTCGAATTTAAAATTAGAAGTTGGTTTTTGTCACCGGGCAGAACCAACAACTCTATTCAAATACCGTAGACCTCAGAAAATAAGCATTTGCATTGAATTTTGCAGCATTTGCACTTTCTAAGATTTACCGGTATTTTCTGGTTTCGATAGATCCTTTTACCTTGGACGTAATCGTATTGTTTTCCCATTTCAGACCACGTGCCATTTCCTTGATAATAAGATTCTTTGTTTGAATCATATCGCATATCCATCATGTGTCTTACTCATGTTCAACTGTTAAACAAAGAAATGATACTCTAGTGGTATGAATTAAGGGAAATCACGCCCAGGTTAAAGAGGTCTAAAAAGCATTGTTGTCGTTGGCTTGTAGAAGCAGCGCCTGTGTTTTCAATAAATACACCCAAGTCTTGTTTATCAGTGACTTTATCTAGGAACTGTCTGCACGAGTGAAGGAGCTGATTATCATAATAACGCAAAACAATACAAAATAATTATAGTGGTGCTGCTTCTTCTTCTTTATGTTTTTAAGTAAAGCTAAGACAATTCCTTGTTTCAACTTTTTCTGTTTATACCATTACTTCATTGCCACTAAAAGTGAGGGAAAATTTCTGTGAAACAGATGTTAGGCAGAAACTTATTGTACGAATTATATTTTTAATTCATTTTGGTTTCGTTGCAGTCTAGACCTTTTGTTACGTCACACTGACAATGCTGATTTGTAGGTGACGTCATTTCTCGAAACTTCATTTTTCATACAATTATTTTCGGCATTTAGGCGAAGACCGGAAGCCAAGCTTACCTGGTATCGGTTTGGCGAATAAACGATGGATTGTGCATTATGAGATTTGAAAATACTTTTCTCCTACTACGTTGTTTTTAATGGTTGAAAGAAACAGCTTTATAACATAGTATTTTCCTCTCATATTATTTAGCTCTAAATAGTTCACTTTTAAATAAATATGTAGCAAATCATTGTGAAAGTTCAAGTATTAAAGGTCTTGGTTCCAAGTTCTTTTAAAAAATGGATCAAACTTCATTCTTAATTTATTTAAAGTGCCTATGACCCTTATTTTTTAACTTTTTTATATCGAAATATAAGCTATTCTAAGAAACGTGTCGAAAGAATTTTTTGATTCTGACGCTTCTTTCTATTTTTTTCGAGCGGTCAGCAAGGTATAATGTTTTCCCATTACAGACCAGGTGTCATTCCCCAGAACATCATTTCTTAGTTAACCAGTTGCACATGAAGAGACATACAGCAATTTGAAAAAAGGTTGAATACTGAATAGTGCATACTAAATACTGCATTCCAAGACCAAAGGGCATTGTGGGTCTCGTTAATTTGAAATAACAAGTATATATAAAGCAATTAACTCTCTACATGTAGTTAGTATATTGTTTTAGATTGAATACCCTAAAAATAGAATAATTACTATTAATCCTACTTTAGACAATGTCACTTTGACCCACAATGCACTTCTGTCTTGGAATGTATTCAGTATGCAGTATTCAGTATTCAACCTTTTTTGAAATGGCTGTATAAATATGGTATGTAGTCTGGAATGGGAAAACATTACACTCAAGCTAAAAAGGTCTATTTCAATAAAGGTCCATTCTTATTCTTCATATCCATACCATTTCATTCATATACATTTGCATTCCATAGCATTCTAGAACTAGATTGAAATACATAAATATCAATATTACATATATTATATTAATTAATTAATTTGTTTGTAAATATACCTTCTAGTTCAAAAAAAGTCAAAGTCAAACAAACCAATGCCATATAGACTTGTACTTAATATATAGTCTGTCAAGTTTAGAGATGGAATTCTTTCATTTCTTTTAAGAAAGTTTAAAATCTCTGTAATCATTCAAATATGAGTGTAGATATTTCCTTTGAAAAGAAAACTGATCCCTCAAAATTGAAATTTGGATTGTAAATAGTCCTTCAAGTCATAGTTAATAGAGGTAATAGAACAGTTAATATTTATCTTATAGTTCTAATTACTAAATTAAGTATGGAATAGTATAAATAGCCCTTCATGATTGAGGATCTTTTGGTGTTACACACTCAAATATGTATATTGAAATTTTGAAAACATCTTCAAGTAATATCTGAATTTATAAATTAATATTTTTTAAATATATAAATTTTAACTTCTGCAGTCCACAGTTTTCTAAGAATTAGACTCCTGGCACAAAAAATAAACATTTCAAGGGGAAAAAAATCAAGTCCAAACAAAGCAACAAAAACAGCAACAATAAAACACACACGCACAAAATCTATTCAAGAGGCTGGTCACCTTATCACGCAAATCTCAGCATATTACACCCATTTTAGTACAGCTGCATTGGTTGCCGATTGAGCAGCGTATCGAATTTAAAATTCTTCTTTTTACGTATAAAGTTATCCATGGTATTGCGCCAAAGTATCTCTGCGATTTACTTGAGCCTTATGCTCCTCAACGCTGTTTGAGATCTGGTTCTAAGAGGTTACTCAAGGTTTCAAATTATAATCTAAAGTCTTATGGATATCGCGCTTTTTCTATTTCTGCTCCAATGCTTTGGAATGCCTTGCCACTGCAAATCAAATGTAGTACATCTTTAAATATTTTCAAGAGTTATCTTAAAACATATATATTTCGCAAAGCTTTTCATTGATCATTCGTTAAATCTTATTGACTTTTAGATTACATAGTTTTTTGATTTTGATATTACAGATATTGTTATTATTAATTATTATTATTAATTATTATTTGCTTGTAAAGCACTTTTGGACATTTTAGGAAAGGGCGCTATATAAATAAAATATTATTATTATTATTATTAACTTTCTTATTTCCTTTCATACGACATTTTGGCTCATGAGAGCTACCAGCTTCTACCAACAGATAACTTAATACCTTGAAAATTTCATATGTTTCTGTCTTTAGATTTTGGCATGGTAAGGTCATCATATGTTAACTCTACCTGACATGAGTGTGTATATTTGCTTCATTCACAGGGTTGCTTCACTGTCGAGAACTGAGTCTGCATTCAAGGACAAGATGGATAATAGTGTCACAGCTGTAATGTACACAAAAATGATTTAAGAAACAAAAACAGATCTAGGTTTCTTAAAATGAGAGGGAAGGGAGGGGTCATCATTAATCTGTAAGAACATGCTCACACTTAGTTTCTGTCAAGCACGGTGCTAGAGGGTACAAGTACAAGTACAAGTAGGAGCGTACTGTGCCTAAATACCAGGTTAGAACCTTGTATAAATTTACAGTACAGGTCAGAAGTTTTTCAGGGACAACATAATGAGAAGAGTGTCATCTGCCAAATCTGTCACCTTATTTTTATAATTTTTTATATAATTTTTCATAACATACTCCTGCATCCTCGGGATCAAATATTTCCTTGTTGCTGATTGGCCAATAGCCCCAGGTTGATTTTTCATAGCAAGCAATGGCTGATTTGGAAAGAAAACTTCATTCTTCCAATATTTTTTTCAATTATTCAACAGTATGATATCATACCGAGGAAATATTTTGAATAAATAATATAAGAAACTTAGACCGATTCCATAAGTCGGTGTTTTCACTCTTTTGTCAATTCTGGATATCGCTAACACACTGTCGCAGGGGCAGATCCAGGATTTTTTCAAAGGGGGGTTGTAGCATTGATTGAGGTACTTGTTTGGTGGGAAAGTAGCACAGGGTTGCCAAACTGAAGTAGGTCTTATGATAATGATTATTTGCTGCAGGCGAGCATGGTTGTTTCAGGTCCCACACACGGCGTATAGAAAAAAAAAGCGAGCGAAGTGTGTTCGGCACCCCTGTTTTAATAAAACTCACAATGCTGTTGGTGTTCTCATGAAAAATAATAATAATAATAAATCATGATGGCTCTCATAGGGAAGGCTGCAACCCCCAAAACCCACCCCTAGATCCGCCACTGCGTCGCTAGTTGAGCAAGCATAACCCACAAAGGAGTGAAAACTACGACTAATGGAATCAGTCAATAAAGAAATTATATTCTTTGTTTCCAATAGACGTCATAGCCGCCATGTTGGAAGAATTTGACAAAAGATTTTTCAATGAATCCTTTTGTTATATCTTCCAACATGGCGGACATCCCTTTTGTTATTGTGCTCTCTTGGGATTGATTGCAAACCAAGAATAGGATATATTAGTTATAATACAAAATAAATAATATCTGTCGTGCTTTGCAAGCCTAAAAGCGCAGCTGCGCGCAGCTATATTTTTTCATGCCTTCTCTTATAATAATAACTTTCAAAAAGCTTAAAAAAATTTAAAACTCATTACCGTTTATCACTGAACACTGTTTGCCCGTGTTTGATGACAGGCTTCAGTAAATCTTTCCCCATATCTTTAAAACACTCTGGGATAAATCCTTCTGGTGCAGGAAACGAATTAAGCCATGAGTCTAACCCTTTCCATAGTTCGTCTTTATTTTCTCCATTTTCATCGTCAGATACCAAATCTTCCTCGATCCGCCATATTGAAAAACACGCGGGCTTTGAGCGAAGTACCGCGGACCATAATGACAGGCGATAACAAAGTTATACCACAGGAGGCCCAATTTTAGAAAATCGGTACAGATGAGTTTGTAATCAAGGAACATAGCAGTAATTTCATTCTCTACTTTCACAACCCCATAATGCCTATCGTCTTTGGGGGGTAACCAATCAAAAAACTGTCCCAAATTGAAAGGTTTCTTAATTGAATTTATACTATACCTGCTTTTGTCTGTACAATACTGATTATCAGTTTATTCCAAGTTATTTTTGAGTGTACAGATCATAAAGAGTTTTGGTCTTACAGAAAATGTATTGCCTTACGAAAAAATGTTTAAAATTTACCATAAACGTCTTCAAGCTTCTATCCTTTTCTGCTTTTTACTTCTTTGTTTTATTTTTGGAAACCAAACAAGTATTGTCAACATTGTCTGATCAGCCTTCAGCAAAATAAGTGGGTTTTTACCCTCTGGTTACCCCCCAAAGACGCAAGGTATTATGGGGATGTGAAAGTCGAGAATAGCTGAAAAAACATAGCTGTATTTTCCGAATGAGAAAAAGGACTTTTTTTTCAGTTTTACAATCACGTGATGGCAGCCGTGACAGGAGGCACAACTGTAGAGTCTTTATCCTCTGGGAAAATGTATTCATTTTTGTGTAAATCAGTTTAGACCAGATTCAATGTTTTCTGCCTCTGGTTTTCACTGCCATCACGTGATGGTGTAAAGCCTTTCATGGGACGAAATACCTGTTCATATCGCGGTTGCCATAACCTGCAATAATCCTTTGATAATAAGCTGTTGCGCGTGCGGGATCCAACTATAACCCCTTGCATGTGGCGTCGAAGCAACTCAATTTGGAAAAACAAAAGAATTTCAATATCCTGAGAATTAGAAACCTATCGTTATGTCCTCCAAATTAAGTTACATTCCAACGTGCTACAAGAGGTTTATTGACTAGTACGCGTAGAAAAACGTTTAGATATGGCATTTGCCTTTCATCTTTTTCTAATGTCTCCCATACTATATATCCCTCCCTTCACTGGACACCTGTTTGCTCAGTAGGTCCTGACTACACGCTGAATAAATCAAAAATCATTGCAATATTTATCTTATTTTATTTCCTAATTTTCCGTTAACCATTCATTCACGATGGAGAAACGTTTACAAAGAAGCACCGAACCACATGTTGGAAGTCGTATAATCACTCGATGAGCACCTGAACTTTCGGTTGATTTTCCCGTAAAAACCAAAGTTGTCTTCACTGGATACGTAACCTGCAGATGCCCCAAACGAGCACTTTCTTGCACTGCTGTCATGATGAAGGATATGCCTATTGGCCATCTGCCAGAATGGCACGGTCACCTCAATACCAACGTGACCACGAACGTTGATATACTCGACTTTCTTACAGACACCTGCACCATTAAAGGTCAGAGGGTCCAGGTCAGCAAATCGAACGCGAAGGTAGTCACGGTAGTCTACCGAGGCTCCATTGCAGGTGACGCGCCAATGAGTGGACTGGGACTTGATGTTCGTCATCTGGTCACGCGTCATACGGTACATGTTGTAGTTGGGGGACTT